ATTATTTATTTTACATTATTGTTGTGAATCATAATGAAATTGGATTAAAATGAACTTTAGAGTTTCTATATAATCTTTTAAAGCCCACTTATACTTGTTTACTATAAATTTTACCCTAAGGTTGACTCCTAATGCTAAAAAAAAGCCAAAAACATATATCTCCAAAATTATATATTTTTTGGTGGCTCGTCTATTTTACACTATACACAAAATACCAAATTTCATTTTAATCTGATTTCATTTTAATCCGCCACAACAATTAATATCGAATTAAATTTAATAAATTTATATTAAAACAAAGGATAAATGCATGAGTCGCACCCTGCGATGTGCTTATACATCGCATGCATATATGTACAATTATAATTTATCACCATAAGATCAAATAAAATAACAAAAATAAATTTGAATGTTTAGTTAGGATTAGGTTAGGTAGAGTTAGAATATAAAAAGAGATCTTATAGTAAATTTTGCAAAGAATTTTTTTTGTTAGAGCGAGAAAGATCGTTTCATATGTGAAATTTTGGGTTATAAGCAACTTTTTACAAAACGAACATTTACACGTAATCTTGAAGTTTGATTGGTCAGCTATTAAGATGCGATGTATAAGCACATCGCAAGCCTGCGATGCCTAATTAAGTCCTAAAACAAATCTTATAATATTGAGATACTTAGTTTCGGAGATTAGCTCTCCTACTTGTCCCAACCACCACGAAGAGGTGTATCTCGTCGGTTGGGAAGGCGAATCCCAACCCATTTCTTCTCCACCGGTACTAGTGGTTCGGTTCCCGGCTTTGAGCGGGTTGTTTCCTTGAATCATCAATACTTTTTGTATTTCATCAAGTAGCTTTGACTCAAGTTGTCCTCTAAGAGTTCGAGAGTCCGCGCAATCAAAGCCGCCAACAATACGACGAAGAGACAACCGACGAAAGCGAGCAGCGAAACACCGAAGCGACGAGAAATAATACAGTATCGACGATCTACAAGAAAATATAAAATACTTTTAGATAAGTATATGCAAAAAGCAGAAAAAGTTAAAAATGTGAAACGATTAACAGAGAAAAAAGGGGGCTTTATATATATATATATATTTTTATCAACATGTTTACTGTTTTTGAGATTTGCAAACTTTTGAATGCATAAATCAAGTAAAAAAACGGTTTTTTTTTTCTCTAGTCCAATAGTCTAGTCAGTTTGTTACTCGTTAACTTCTAAAATCAGTTTTTAGACAATTTCCTTTTATGTCAAGATTATATCCGACATAAAGTATCAATAAAAGAGAAAAGGCAGTTTTGATTACAAATAAGACAGCGAAGTTGAATTTTTTTTAAGCCTATTTTGTTATCGTTATACAAAAACTTTACGCACAAAACCGCATACACTTTAAAAAATAATTCCGGCCAATTAAATCAAACCTCATTACTGTATCGGTATGCTTTTAGTGATTGGAATGTTGATCAGAATGGCCTATTATACAATGATCATCTTTTTTTAAAAAAAAATCTCATTTTATACATTTACATATGTCACGAATCGCGAAAGTAACATTAGTCTCTGTGATAATTTTATCAACGGGAACTATCTTTGGTGTTCATTATCTTCAAAAAAAAGAAAAAGAGGTAAACATTCATCAATATTCCTTTAAATAATAATTTAATCGTGTCTAATACCTGTTTGTGTTAAGGTTATGCACGCAGGAATAATAAGGGATAAGGAACGTAAACGCGAAAAGTTGATGCAAAATCAGTTAGAACATGATCGACAAGTTATGTTACGAAAAGAATATGAAAAAATTCAACCCGTGTTACAAAGTGAAAATGAGAAATCGAAATAAAATTTGAATTATCGATATTTTAGATTATTATTTAATATTAATATTATTAAATTTTATTGCTAGTTTTATTACTAAAAATTATTTAGATATGGTAATTGATAAATAAATATAAATAGAAATAAATATAACAGAATCTTTAAATAGATAATAACTAAAATTAATTATACTCTTAAATATTTTTTTAAAACAAAGACACTATCTGAACTTATTTAATTTCAATTCCCATCTTCTCCTAACTTTCGACCGACTTGGATTTTTTGTTCTGGCGTTGCACAAAATTTAAAATTCAACGGTGCTTCAAATATTAGCACAATGGTGGAACCCAAGCAAAATCCACCGATTTCTTCGCCAATCCTTAAAGGTTGTCCACCTAGGAGCTTACTAGCATTTTTATAGGACATTTCTGTACATGTCCCAACGGGAGTATCTCCTTTTTGATTTGTACGAAGAACCTGAAAGACAATATGTAAGCTATGAAAAAAATATCATATCTTGGTTTTCCACCTACTACATGAAAATAATTTAAATACCTGATCAAAATTAATCCTGATTGATCCAACATTGGTAGCACCAACTGGTATCATGGCAAAAAAACCATGTCTCCATCTTCCTAGTAACGCTACCCGTTCATTCAAGACAAACAAATCTGGCAACAGGTTTACCATGTATGGTGACACAGAGAAGAGTTCACCTGAAAAAAGAATAACCTTTGTCACATGATTATAACTAAATTATAACTAAATTTTCGTGTTAAATATAAATTCAAGAACATACCCGCAAAATGACGTCTTGACTCAACAACCCAATTTGTTGGAGAATGAAATCTGTGATAATCTCCAGGAGCAAGATAAATCACACAAAAGAAAAGCCCATTTCCTTTTTTAATTGCATGCCATTTATGAGCATTATTAAGCGAAATGTCTGTTACATTTTTTGAAATGAGTTTTTCTTTTTTTTGTTGATCTGCTTTCTTTAGACCTGAAACATTATTTTCGAGAGTGCTTTCTTGTTTTTCTTGTTTTATATCCATATCTGGATCATCACATAGCAAAGTATCTAAAGAATATGTAATACCATTGATATTTGCAAATTCTTTTTCATCAACAATATGAGTTGTTTTAACATTATTGACTATTTGTAATTCCGAACTATTTGTATTGCCACTCCCTAACAGTGCACTTAGTGTATAATAATTTCCTTTTATTTGCTCTACCTTTTCGTCGTTTACTAATCCAAAACTAAGGATTCTGCCATCAGCAGGTGATATCTAAAAATATATTAACAAAAAAACTTACAAATAAAAATATTTAACAACAAAAAAAAAAAGCTTACAAGAATAGCGTTATCTATTGGTCGTACACCAGGTTTTAATGATCTGTAAAAAAAAGAGCCTAAATTTGGATAGGTTCTAAGATCAGGATTTTCAATTTCATCCAAATTACAATCAAATAACCAACTATAGAGTTTATAAAAAGGTTCTCGCATCCAAACAGGTAAATTGTATTCATTGTTAATTTTTCCCCATAATCGAGATAGTGCTCTAAGTGGAAGGGTGTCTAGAACATGAACCTATATAAAGAATTAATTAAATAATTAATCAAGCGTATAAATAAAACTAAAAATGAATAATTAATTTTTTTTTTACCTGCCAGGGGCCATGTGCGGGACGTTTTGTCACTTGATCATTTGTTTTATTTGATTCGTGTTTTTTATATTTATAATTTAAAGTCTGAAAGGCAATAACAGTAATACCAATGCCCATAGCCGTTAGGCGAAACCGTTTACGTGAATGGCCAAAAGCGAAACCCCTAGGTGAAACGGCAGAGTTCCGGCGAAAGACAAAACCCCCGGTGAAAGGTGAAACCCCCGGTGAAAGGCGAAACCTCGGGTGAAAGGCAATACCCCTCCTTGAATGCGAAACCTCTGAAGAACGTTGATGCCTTTGAAAACAATATCTCGAGAAAGGTCGATTTATGTTTGTTAATGAAAGATGTGTAGTGTGGTTAGCCATTAAATGTGACTTATATGATAGATATCAATTTTCAGGTGTAACATAAAAATTAGCCATCAAAAGTAACGCCCGATTTGCAGATCATCTCACATGAGCAAATAAAACGGTTGTGTTTACCCCATACTTA